ACTTTATTTAATGTATATATTCAATCGGCATAAATTGTATTGGTCGTATTAACTTTTTATTTAAATATATATTCAATCGGCATAAATTAGTATGGTGTATAAACTATTTTATTTAAATGATATATTCAATCGGCATAAATTGTATGGCGTATAAACTATTTATTTAAATGATATATTCAATCGGCATAAATTGTATGGCGTATAAACTTTTATTTAAATGATATATTCAATCGGCATAAATTGTATGGCGTATAAAGGTTCTTTGAAATGGTATATTCAATCGACATAAGTTGTGTGGCCTGCATATGTTCTTTCAAATGGTATATTTTGTGGTATGTATGATGATATTTTAGAAACCTTTTGTTATGTAATTTATATAGCACCGAAAGTGGCGACCTCTTTTTGAGTTAAATATTGCAACAAGGTTGAAAGTATTTGGAAAAATAATTTCCAATCTTACCATAATGTTTAATCACCCGTGTTATTTTATATTCTTATTTCATTGCGTAAAATACTGTATATATACAAAACAAAAAATAGAATGCACGGGTTAACACATCTGTATTAATATTGTATTTAGTTGGAATGACAAGCACCATTTCTAGTATTATATGTTTGTATGAAAAAGGGATAATATTGTTTTTTTTTAACATCATATAATACAAAGCCAGTCATCATGCTGCGTTACTGTATAATATACTATAATACTATTCAAGTTATCTGTGTCTGACGCAATAGGTGATACGATTGTTTTACTTGCAGTAAAAATATTTGTTTTTCTTCGTATGACAGAGATAATTTTTATGGTATTAGCTCATAACTAAAACAAAAAACACTTCATATTCGTATGATAGTGTGAACAGTCTGATGATAAACAGACTTTCCTCTACTGCATTATCGGATAATGTCAAAACATTTTGTACAGTATTACCTAACAGTAAACAGACACATTAATGATATGTATCATTGCAGGACAGAAAGTTGAAATAGTATTGTTAGCTAAACAAATATTGTTTTACTGTACCACGTTAAATCGTTGTCATGTTTTTTTATGGGTTTTTCTTGTCTTCTTTAGGTAACAGAAGACGATGATGTTGACGTATCTTGCAATGAAGACTGTAAATTAAAACAGGTAATTCCGATAGGGGAGCTGTATACGCACGCTATTTTAAAGGAAATTCGTCTAACTATTGTATGTCTTCCGGTGAGACAGCGGTAAGTTTATGGAATTACAACGATGAAATCCGTTGTTCGATTCCCCGCAGTGAGCACAGCAGATAGTCCAGTGTGGCTTTGCTCTGAAACAAACTCATAAAATTATTATATATAGCTCCCTCTTCCCAATATGACAAATGACAGTGTTATGGCGTAATATTTTTAACATTCCACTTTAATACACGATTTAAGGATACTTGTTGTATAGAAATTCGTTGATAGAATGTAAAATGTGTGTTTTCAGTTTTATCCTTAACTGTAATACTTTCAAAACAAAAGTTGTTGGTTATACTAACCAGAAAATTTAACAAAAATGAATTAAATTTAGAAATGAAAAATAACCCGCTTAGATATTTAAAAGAAACTCGTTTCTTGGAGAAACCTAGGTTTTATTTTTCCCAAGTTCAGGAGTAAAATATATAAAGGTAAGAACTTGCTTAGTGGTATACGTAGCAACGAATGTATCTGTAAATAACTATAATTTTATTATATTTTATATGAAAATAATAATTAGCTCAGGAAAATATGTATCCAAATAACTATCATATCAGCACACTGTTCACCGTGTTCGTCATATCAGTAAACTCGTATATCAAAATAATTGTTAGCTCAGTACGTCATAGTACACTTTCACTATGTACCTATGTGTTCATAATCTTAGTAATACTCTGTATAGATGATCATCCTTTACGTATTCTGTACGTCGTAATAATCATCATTCAGCATAATACAGATAATTAAGTCACGTGCTTGCTTACACAGTCCCGGAATACACAGCATGCAGATTAGATAGTGTTCCTCTTCAACTTAAATTTGATCATTAAGCTGAATGTATTCATATCAAGAAATTAGCATTTAACGAAGAGTAGTATGTTATATTAAAGGTACCTTATTCTCTTTGATATTGACAACAAAATAGCTGTATCGGGTATCACATGTAAACAAGGAGTATCATTTCGCCTTGCCATTTTATTTTTATTTTATGTTTTTTTAGTAATACCGCTGCAAATCTGAAATCTTGCATGGTTCGGCATATTCTGCAAGTGTGTTTGAATTTCTTAATGTTTAGTTTTCTCGCGGTTGAAGAGTTAATATTTATCGTCATTGAACAGACACATTACGTTTAATTATCTTACAAAAAACATAACTCGTCATCTTCCTGAAACGTTATATTAAAAACCTGTACACCAATATGTCACCATGCTTCGGTGTAATACAATGTTTCTTTGCTTTTTTTTCTTTGGGCTTTTTTTTAAAATCCTTAAATCATTTAATGTCAGTTAACGCACAGCCCTAAATACGTTATGGTGAAGGGCATTCTCTTTGGCGCCTCTCCTTCTAAACTGAACACAGACGACATTCATTTCATGTATACTTTTAATCATCCGCTACTTTCAAGATTTTTAAGATGTAGATAGTGCTGGGTCAAATGACGTCACACCAACAAGGTCGACGTCAGTCTTATCAGATATGTATATAAAAAGCTGTGATTGTATCCCTCTGTTGATATATATTTATTTATGTTGCATATCTTTCACATTATTCCTAAAAAAAATAAATACGTTCCTAGAGAACAGTGAGAGATTGTATATCATATAGACAATTAAGTATGATACGTCAGATGAGTGAACAAGTTTCGCCCAGGGCTTTCTTGTCAGAGAGACTGCGAACACTGTTACTCTATACAGCCCTTCTAAGTTTCAAGGGCGTCATAACAGATGCTTTCTGAGTTCAGGTCAAGTGCTACAAGGTTATGTGAGTTGACAAACATTCTGAATTTTGTATCTTATTTTCAGTCACACACACATATATATAATTGTATGATTAAGAGATAACCAGAATTAGCAAGGGAAGTATAGACGTTGCATAGAATATCTTATTTTGTCTAACAATGTATTTAGGCTTTGGATCTTAAAAACATTTCATGATTATGGCTGACGAAGATCGAAGTAGTACTGGTATCTTCACAACGATAATATCTAATTATTTCGTGTTTTGTTTTGGGCTACTGTTTGTAAGTTTAATGTCTGGAAATGAAGTGAAATAATTATATAATTTCCCGTTAATGCTAAGAAGTATAATACTAACTATTATATTTTATTTTTAAACATCGTTATATTTTTAAACTACATTAGTAAGGTATATAGTTTTGTTAACGAGAAGTTGTTACAGCTTTAAATTTAACATATATATATATATATTTATTATATATATTTATTTATTTACTTTACTAATTTAAATATTGAGAGTTTTAGTCATTCATATAGAAAAAGCACTACAGTTGGTAATGGCTGGCCTAACTTTGTCGTGTCGATTTAACCTTGACCGTGAGATTAAGAAGTTTACTTGTGTTTTAGCACGTACATGCGATTATTACTCGTGAGACTTTTTATTATTGTTTTTCAAACACAAACCACCCGTGTTATAACGAGCACATGTCAGTTCCAGGATATTTGCTCTTAGAGGTCTGACCTCAGCCACCTGTGTTTATTTTCTATTACTGAACATCCCTAACATCAAAGTATTCAGTTGGACAGTCATCCTGCTCGCTTTCTGTAGTTAGTTATGTGTGTTTTAGTTTACCGAGAAAGACTTTGTTGGAAAATCTAGCAACATTAAAAAGTGTTCTTTCCTTACTTTTTAAGGACATTGACAAGACAAAAAATATACAAGATTTCTCCTTTTCCAGATGATTATAATTTTTTTATGTTATATCAATTTTATCAAAAGTTTATTAATCGAATAACGAAACTTAAGCTGAGGAATTAAAACCTTAAGTTCATAAAGGAAAATGTAAATTACAAAACTGATATTAATACATAACATTTTGCATATTAATATCTTATGAAATAAACATTTTTTGTTAAAACCCAAGAAATAAATTATTGTTACAAAAACAAATGGGGATTTGTGTTTATATTATACTTACGTTACGGAATCGGATCTTATAGACCCTACAGTCATGAAAGGGAACTAACGTCTCATCATACCTTAAAATAAACTACATGATTTACAAGTTGGATTAATTAATAAGTCAGTTTTAAATTAGATTGTGCAAATCATTTATAAAGGAATTATTCAAGAAGCAGGTATAATGTAAAGACAACTAAATGATTTAAACGACAAATTAAGTAACAATTAAATATAACTTAACTCTATATGATTTACAGAAGAGGAGATAAATCAAAGAAGCGAGTATGATTTAAAGGAAAATAAGGGATTCATTAAGGAGTAATTATCATGTTAAAGTACTACGTTAACTTAAAGGTGGATTGATTAAGAAAGACGTATGGTTTTTAAAATGATCAATTAAGGAGCCACGTGATTTAACTGATAATAATTAAGAAAAGTGTGGTGCATTACAAAGAAGATTAACATGATTTAAAGGGAGAATATGATTTTAAAAAGGGATTATATAAGTAGGCACTAACTCACTATGATTTCAAGGGAACTACTTGTTTTATGTGAATTAAAGTGAGATCAATTAAGAATTAAAATAATTAAAAGAGACTGTGTGATTTAAAAGATGGATTGATTATGAAATACTATGCTTTAAAAGGAACAAGATACTTTATGTGATTTAAAATTGGGATTAATTAAGAAGCAAGCGTGATTTAAAGCAGACCACGAGGTGTCAAAGTTATTATTACTTTTGATTAGGTTCCTTTACCCCTAGATTACCGCCCCCCAGTGGCACAGCGGTATGTCTGCGGACTTACAACGCTAGATACCCGTGGTGGGCAGAGCACAGATAGCCCTTGTGTAGCTTTGTGCTTAATTAAAAACAAACAAACAAACAATACCCCTAGATTACCTATCATGCGCCAATAACCACAGTTTGTAAAAAAATAAATAAACAAAAGATTATTATTAACACTCTTAAAAATAATATATTTATTAATTTTTAATGGTCTTAGGAGTTAAAAAAACAACAACATGTTTTTGGTTTTAGAGCTGTCCAAACTTATATATGTCGATATAGCTGTTTTGCCACTTTCTCCGCCAAATAAAATCTGGCAACACCAGTATACAGAATAAAACTTTTACTCAGAAGTTACAAATGGACAAACTGTAGCAAAATATGAAAATTTTATATGTATATCCAAGTAGCTCATTTTTAGAGTTATTTCACTATTGTATAAACTAATTAAATTAACCATAGACTGAGTGCAAGTAACACACATAAAAATAAAAAATAACTGGCTATAGGGGCTAAATAAACAAACATGCTTTTTCTGTATAATAAGTGTAATTGTGGTTATGTATACTTAAAACCATTTGAAATTAAGATGTATGAATGTGTGTGTGTATTGGAAGCCCTCTACATGGAAATTAGAAGAAATTATACAAAACAAACACTTACTCGCTTCTATATAATATTTTATGTAGTGAATGTTACAATGACACTGAAAACGCTAACAATTAGGAAGGCTTACTTATTAAAACTTAAAATAAGAAGTGAAAAAATCTTCTTTGTTTACCTTGACTTCCCAATAATTTCACTAGTTAAATTGTTAGAGTACAGTTTAAAAGTATAATAAGTAAGTAATATAGATACGAATATCTATATATATCTAAATTTTACGAAAACCGTAAGGCTTGAAAACTTTTCTCATACCTACTAACGCATTGCTCATACAAGATGTAAGGCAACCACAGCTCGTGGAACCTCTAATAAAACGTAAGAGCAAAAGGCCTATTCTATTAGCACTTGGCGAGTTTTTAATAGGGAAGTTCCTTATTAACTTATCAGACAGTTTCTAGGGGTGGTGAAAGGGACGCACATTATGTCTATTTCTCTTTGCATGTTGATCTAGCTTTCTTCCATCTACTTTTTTATGTTTCAGTTTTTTACATCTTTGAAACTAATTGCAAATTTGCAACTACAGCAAACATAGATCTTGTGTTAGTGCCAGTACATAAGTGTTCGCAAAAACAAAATTAAGATGTATACGAAGAGATAAAGGCGAGTTTTTCCACTTACAATAGTAAACCTCACTCTTACTTCTTGCTAGAAATATACATCACCTACGCTATGAGGCTACATCAGTATTTAAAATTACAGTTACAAACTAAATCACGTAGAATGTGAAATGTAAAAATTATAAATACACTATTGTTCAGCCCGTCAAAAATGACGGGTCAAGTACTACCACCCCACCTCCTTGTATACCCTAACCTCACAGTTCATAGCTAACTGAAATAAATAAATTTTGCGAAATCAAGCTTGACCAACAAAGAGGCAGAAAAGTGCAGTCGAGGCAGTCAAACGTCGATAAATCCTTTGTGAGCCAATCAAAATTAAGATCATTCATGAAATGAATTCGTGATGTATTCATAGAGCACTTATTTGGTAAAAATCAGTTACATTAACAAATAATATATAAAAAAGCCAGTGAGTTTTGGTAACACTACATTCCAACAATGACTTTTATGTCATTTCGCTTAGCAACAAAAGTATAACTTAATATTGTTGTTAGTCTATGTACTGAAACTATAAAACTAAATGTATAGACAACAAAACTAGAAAACTATTTGTTGACTTCTTAATTTAGAGTTTCGTTGATTAAAAAGGTTTGTTTTAATAATATTATTAAAAACGTTGGTGATATAACGCAAAATAGCTTGATTCAGTAACAATATAATTTGAAAATTGAATCGATATTTTTACTTTCATGATAAATTTTACGCACTTGGCTCTAAGCTAGGTGATCCAATACTACGTCTTTACTCTAGGTTTATTTATTTATTTCTTTAAATCATACCAACATTCACTACACTTATAAGGTTTCACAGCACCCCCCCCCCCTTTGCACACCGTCACTGAAATCGTAATGGGCAGACAGTAATCGAACTATTCTATCTGGATAAGTGCATTTTAGCTTTTATGACTCCTCCTATTAACAATATAGTTCGAGAAAGTGCCATGCTTAACAATTGAATTAAAGTTTAAAGACAACTTATCCTAATGTTGTTATTGTTATCATTATCACAAGATGTCTGTCTGAAACTTAGATCAGTGGAGATATACAACTTTGAGTAAACTTCTAGGAAAGATGCATGCATATATTTTAATAACGAAAATGCCATAGTATTGCAGTTTTTCTTGTTATGTTATTTTTTCTCATCAAATGAAATTATCAAAGCAATGTTTAATTATTATTGATTAATTTTCGCTGAGATGATCACCTTGATAACATGAAAAATTTGATGTCTTGAAACTATTTGTCAGAGAGTTAGTGAAAAAAGGAGTCTGTAAGCAGCGTCCTCTGAAGAACCAAGGACAATACTATAGGGTTAATTAAATATTCCAATTGAACAAGATATGATTTTCTCCTAAATGTGTTAGATACGTTATGGACAAAAGTACATATTGAAATATAGTTTTGTTATGCATCAATCCAAAGTGTTATTATAAGTGCTTGCTTGTTTACACTGGCTTACTCAGATTAATTGCTCATCAAATACTTAAAAGTCTAAAAGTGTTCAGGTGAGTATATTTTATAGCACAATTTCTTGTATTTACTTGAAAAACCATTCGTTTCGTGAGCACTTTGTAACAAAACATTACAATCATGGCATTGTGACGTAGAACCTTAACTCTTTACTTACAGAAAACTTTTAAGCAACGTTTTAACAAATGAGAGGTAATGTGTTTTTGCATAGTATTGTCTTTCCCACTTATCTTGACCTCGATGTCATCAAGGCTTACCATTGGCAAAATATTGACTTCGGCTTTTAAGGAACACAAGAGTTCAAGTATTGCTCAAATATCTATACCATCCAACACATACGGAAATGTGGACAGTACCAGACACTCTAATGTGACTCAGAGTGGGCGGTATATTTATTGCAAACTTATATCGGGTTAGATTTTATTTTATTCAGTTAATTCTCGGTTTCTTAAAATCAAATCTTACTTTTCAGTTTCGTAAGGCTAAAATATAGCCTTCTACTACAGCAGATCTAAATCTATATTATCTATATATCTGTATTAGCCAAGAATATTTATCAACATACTTGAACATTCTTTGTCCAAATAGAAACGCGCAGTACTCTAGAAGCCATTACAGTAATGGGAAACAAAACCCCAATAAGGTTACACAAGAATATCTTTGAAAATACCATTGTCCAACCATGTTGGCGCCGCTAGTGCAGTTTGCACGCGTTTGTTCGTGTAATTCAATGACCGAGTTTCGAAGCGCAGATGAAATTCAAAACCATAGTTTATAAAAGACTAGATGATCTGGTCTTGTTGAACGCGGTACATTCAGTCGTTCTCCAAAAGCCTCAATCATACCTTGTTAATTACATTAGTACTTGACATACGAAAAAGCATTTTTTTTAAATCCTCACTGGGTTATACGTTACCAAATTTGGTCAAAGAAATTCCTACGACGTAATAGTTGTACATTTTCTGCATAGAAATAAAAGGGGTTCTTTTGTTTTACTTTGACGACGAAAGGCAATTGGAAAGTCATTAGTTTGTTAACAATTAACAAGCTTTTATATTTTAAATACTGCCAGAACATGAAACATTTTATTCTGTCTGCTAATGAACTTTGTCAAACTTCAATTTATTTGGTACTTTGAACTGTTAATCATAGACTTCCCAGTTAATTTGTTATCGTGAATTCATATAGATAAACTTATCAGTTTATTTGTTGTTTTGAACCGTTATTAATAAACTGTACATTCATTGTCTTATATTTCTGTTTTATATAGTGTCGTATTGGGTGTCAAAGGTGGGCAGTTGCCATCAAAACCTCTTGTCAAAATGCTTGTGTAAGTTCAACTATTTTTTAATTATAAATTACGAAACAGTCAACACAGTATTTTAAATGTTAAAAGCTTAATTATATTATTATTTTGCAATTTTAGCATATTCTTACAGAAGTGTCTAAGTAGTCATGTGTTTTGTCTATATCAACATTGGCTCCAGAATAAGTAAATGTAAACTTGACTAGCCTAAGAAAGGGAAGGTAGCCATGTGTTTACATCATATTATTGGTTTCGCAACAGCTACAAAATTATTTAGGTTTGTTTCGACAGTATTGCTTTATATTTAAAACCAACCATCATTAGATCGTAATTTGGATCATATTCAATACTGCCACACCTACCTACCATGGTGAGCTGTCATTGATTTCTATTTTAGAAATATAAAAACTGCAACCAGAAAAAAAATATTCTTATAATAGCTAATCGTTGATTACCTTACATTTATAAAGGTCAATGGCATTTTAGCACAACTACACCTAACGATTCACAAATATGTATGATTATTATACTAACGCCAACACTCAGTGACAGAAATTAAACGTTAATGAAGATCTATTTTTTTTTGATGTTACGATTTTTATTTGTTCTTCTTTTAGATCTTTTTGAAGTAAAATTTGCTTATAACTGTAGCATTTATACACGAGTAAATGCTTTTAGAAAATATTTTAGTTACATTTAATATATTACTTTAGGATTTTGCATGTTTATGTTTTACTTTTTACTATTTCACAAATATGTAAATACATACCTACAGGGGAGAAAACTTGGTGTGGTATTCGAAGGATACATCAAACACACAATTAACTGCGCTTCGCAATAACTGGAGATTCGGGGACGTAGCATGAAGAAGAACAAGTGTAGTGTTTCGTTGCAGATGTAAAGAAAGAGACAATACGTGGTGTGAAGACAGGCAAATAAACAGTTTATTGACGTGGATAATTCAAGTATTAAATCCAAGCTGGCTACATATAGCGTTTAATTCTAGGACTCTTATGTTATGACTGAAACAAGTAGATAAACAACAACAAAAACTTATTTAATTAAAGGAAAGAAACAAAGTTTGGTTTGTTAGTAAATTGAAACTGTTTAGTTGAGTGAGTAATTCAAATTAAAGGTGCATAAGATCCAGCAGTTCGCAAAGAAAACAAAGACAAGATATATCACAACATTTCTTATCTCTTAAAAAACAGAAAGAATCTGTATTTACGCATTACCTTCTCTCTGTAGTTGACCAATCAGAAAATTGGAACATATATTCGGAAATATCTGTGTTCTATATGACAGTCCAAGAGCAGTCCTAGTCTCATATACAAGATAAAATAGGGCACGAAATTATCCCATGAAACAGTAAATAGTTTTCGTGATTGGAAAGTAACACCTAAGGCTGATTTAGTACATGACCTCAACCAGATTTAGTATGTTCTGAATTAGAAATGGCCAGGTGGTTAGGGCCCTCCACTCACAATCTGCTGGTTGCAGGTTCGAATCCCTGTCCCACCAAACATGCTCGCCCTTTCAGCCGTGGGGGCGTTATAATGTGACAGTAAATCTCACCATTCATTGGTAAAAGAGTAGCCCAAGAGTTGGCGGTAGCTGGTGATGACTAGCTGCTTTCCCTCTAGTATTACACTGCTAAATTAGGGACAGCTAGCGCAGACAACTCTCGTGTAGCTTTGCACGAAATTCAAAACAAACAAACAAACTGAATTAGAATTCTAGAAAATATTTTACAAATGTAAATATATATATATATATTATGTATTGATATTAACTCCACTTCATAGTACTTAAAGTGAAACTAAAAATTTACCTGTCAATCAGTATAGCTAATTAAATATACTCTTCTTACGTTTCAATATTATGGGATAGTTATCTACATGTGTGCTATTTACATAACACATAAAGTCAGTGTATAGTAGGTAAAATATCATCATTCAATGTGAGAAGTAACCCTAATCTTTGTTTAATGGAGAGTTACTTGTCTTGAAACTACAAGTGTTTTTAGTTTTTCTTTGCTCAGATTTTGAAATGATGAAAATACTGCCCTATGTTTATAGTGAGCTTATTTTGGTTCCCCGTAGGCCTGCTTGTTACAGCCATAGTATTAGTAACACTAACCATACATATCTGTATATGTGTATTTGGCAGTAACGTTAGTATGCTAGTCTTGGCAGAATGTTTCACTGGACCTAACAATTACTTATTTTTTCAATTTCAATGTTATTTCCAAAACATACTTACTTCCTCTCACACTACAGCTATTACTCGACTTTTAGAGTTTCCTTTCTTTGCCCATCTAAGCCCATCTGCATTTTTCTTACTTGTTCAAGTCTTTTATTCCTTATTTAATTGCCCTTGGCAACATCTGTCTCATAACACTCTCCACCTACGCCATTACACTCTCTATCCTGATATTGTATATAAGCACTTCATTCAGATAATATTATCACTTTTGCTTGTATTACAACCATTGGAGATACTTTGAGCATACTTTGTGTTACCTAGTTGGTTTTCATAATAATAAAAAAATCCATTTGACAAGCCGATATACAGCATGAATTCCCAGATTACTGTTTCCAGCATGGAGGCAAATCATGTCTCTATCCTATCCCACCTCTTATATCTAGCATTGCTCAACAGTCGAAGGGGGTCACTCTCAGTTAATTTTTGTATGTGTCCTGATTTGTAGTGATATGGAGACATATATATTCGTACTGGTGGTGTTTCTCTGGTGGCTCTGAGGCTGCACTTGTGGGCGATCCTGGATTACTGCTCAGTTACATGAAAGGACAGCTATGTCTTAATCACCATGTTTGTCAAAACCACATGCCTTAGCCTACTACCGCCAAGTGGATGCATATTTAGACTCAAATAGATCCAGTCCTGGAAATCTCGGGTGCCAGAATGGAGTCTGTGATCAATCTGAATAGATAACTATTTTCTAGGGTTCATCTGACCCTAACTATGGTTCTGAAATATTTAACATCCCTCCAACTTTTGTCAGAAGCCTTTCAGCGATTGCCACATCAAGTTGATGACTAGTTGGAACCACTGTTGGCATCTACCTTTGCTTGATTGTCAGTTTCTGCACATTCTCTAGTCTTTTGGCTGCTATGTAGGGTAGAGATGCATTGTTGGAGGGTGTTCATCTACTGGCTGCCATCCTCTGTGAGTTACGTGAGGCCCCCTTTTTCTAACCATTGATTTTTGCAGGTGTTACAGAGTCTTGGAATTAAGGGTTGATGTCACCTGTCTACATTCATCTCTGTCATCGTTGGCTTCTCGACTTTCCTCGACTCCTACAGGGGGTCACAATTTTGCCCCTATTTGAGTGTTCCGACCCCGACATCAGTCCCTCGGTACCCAGAATAGATTCTGCCCATATCCAAGAGGTTGGAATGATTCCAGTAGCAGAGGTGACTACCGTATGCCTTCGAGATCTGTGGGTGCTCGGCTCCGAGAATTTCGGGTTAAGTGAAAAAAACCTTTACCACGAGTCCATTGGTACTACAGGTCAGGATTAGTCATTCAGTTCACATCTTTACCACCATTATCCCCCTAACCTATTGTGTTTCCACCTCTCGCAGATCCTTGGATTTTGGAACTTTGTTCCAGGACTGTTAGAGATTTGTTGGTCAAGGGGGCAGTGGAGAGAGCTGTCCCAGTTCTTCCAAGGTTTTATTGCTATCTGTTTGTTGTGCCCAAAAAAAGAAGAGGTTGGCATTCAGTCATTGACCTTTCTCATCTAAATCAATTCCTAGATTCTCCAAAGTTCATGATGGAGTAATTTCTCACTCTGCATTGGCATTTTTGCCAGGACTGCAGATGACAATGTTGGATGCCACTGACACCTATCTACACATTCCCATGATGGAGTCATCCCACCACTATCTGCATTTTGTGCACAAAGGTCAGGTTCTGCAGTTCAGGGCTTTGTCCTTCGAACTAGCATCAGCACCATATATGTTTTGCCAAAATGTATAAGCTTTTCTCGTCACCTCCATTCCCTAGGCCTGTGCACACACAATTGCATGGCAGAACTTCACACCCAGATTCTACTTTCAGAAGCAACCAAGGCAGGCTTTATTATCCAAGCTGAGAAATCTATTCTTATTCCAATTTAATATATTGTCCATTTGGGTGTCTTTTTCAACATGTATCTTAATCAGGCCCAGTCAACTCGCATCTGGCTCCATGCTATGGAACAGGCAGTCCAACTCTTACTCACACCTTCTTCTCCCACTGCACAGATGGTTCTTTCTCTTTTGAAGATGTAGGCATCACTCGAATCTCTCATTCCTTTGGGATGAATGCACATGAGATCCGTTCAGTGGTCTCTACACAACCAATGGATCATGAACACCAATCCACTGAATTTCCCAATCTCCTTATTCAAGATCAACATCTTCAACCCCAATTGGTGGTGAGGTCACAACACTATTACAATAGGTGTTCTTCTCCTGCCACCTTGTCGAAAGATCCATCTCTTCACAGATGCTTCACTTCAGGGATGGAATGTATATTTCAATGGTCAGGAATTCCAGGCCCTATGGATGGATGACAAGGCATCCCTAACACCAATGTATTAGAACTTCTTGCTGTTCAAAGGATGGTATCTCAAGGTCTAGACTTATTGAGGGGGAAAATCGTCATGCTTAACTCCGACAGTTCTATGGTGATGTCTTACATTTCCCATCAAGGAGGCACTCAGTCCATATTTCTTTGTTTCCAAACATTGAATCTTTTTTATTGAGTACACTCCCATCATATCATCCTACTAGCTTGCCATGTTTCGGGGATGATGAATTGGTAGTAGATCAATTGTCTCAACCCAACCAGATGCTGGATAGTGAGGTTTTCTGTTGGATTTGCTCTTAGTTCATGACACTGATGATCAATGCATTTGTCACTCCTTGGAACACTCAAATACTAGCACTTTAGTCTCCAGCAACTCACTCTCGGGCATTGGCAGTGGATGCATTCAATTAGGACTGGATGTGATTGCATCTCTATGCCTTCCTGTCAATTAATCTGTTTCCCAGAGTTTTAGCTATGGTTTGTTCAACCCCTTGTTGTGTTCTATTGGTAGCAATAGATTGGCCAGCTCAACCCTGGTTTCTGCTTCTGCAGTACCTTCAGGAGTGCCACCTATTTCACTTCCTCTTTGACCATCTCTGTTGAGGCAGTCACGACACAACATACACCCAGCCACCCTGAAACTCAAGCTTAGGTTATGCAGTCTATTGCATGGCATTGTGGTGTAACTTCTATGGTTGCTATGTATCTGTCTCAGTCTCTGCATAGTCCCACAATGGATATTTACCAATGGAAATAGCACACATATCGACAATGGTGTATTGCGAGGAGGTTGAACCCACTTTGTCCAAATGTGCCAACCATTGCTCTTTTCTTGACCTGGCTCTTTGACAAAGGTTTAGCATCTTTCACAATCACCTTATATAAGATAGCCTTATTGACTACTTATAGATACTCGAAGAGATAGAAACTTTTTAGTCTCCAGTGCTCTCCAGCATCCTCAAGTTCTTTTGAATCCTTCATCCCAAAAGATTGTTTCAGTTACCTAACTGGGATATTAAGGTGGTATTACATGCTCTTTCTCAACATCCATTTGAGCCCTTAGCCTAATGTACCATGAATCACGTTTTTCTTAAGGTTTATTTTTTGTTGCTGCTGGCCTGTGGACGTGGCCAATCAGAGGTGTTTGTGCTGCATGTACACAGGATGCTTTATCATTCTACCTATGTCCTCCTATACCCAGACTGGTCCTTTTTCCCTATGACACTGGCAACTAGGGAAGGGATAAATCCTTTTCACCAATTCATCTGATTGCTATTTCTCATTTTTTATGACTGATCAGATCCTGATCATTTGTTATGTTCAGCGTTTGTTTGTTTGAAGTTAAGCACAAAGCTACACAATGGGCTATTTGTGCTCTGCCCACCACGAGTATCAAAACCTGGTTTCTAGCATTGTAAGTCCACAGACATGTTATGTCCAGTGAGGGCCTTGAAGTGTCATGTTTCCTGCACTAATGCTTTTTGAGGTGCTAGACAACGATTTTTTATTCATTGGGATCCTTCAGTTCCCAGGATTTACCTTGACGAGGTGGGTACGAAAATTGATCCATATTGCTTATACTGGGTTCTCTTTCAAAAGGAGGGGACTTCTGCAAGTCACATTTCATCAGATTCGTCACATTTCTATGTCCTTAGCAGCCTGGTTGAACTACCTGTTGGAAGACATTGTGCAGGCTGTGCATGATTTGGCAGAATCTTCCTCTGAGGGTTTTAACCTACTCCCTGTAGCTATCTTAGCCCTATCTTCTAGATTATAAAGAGGGTGAGTATCTTCATTACTAATTTTGTCTCTTCTTTACTTTCCAGGGTCTCATACCTCTTTTTCAGAGGATTCCACTGTGTGGTGAGTGTTGTCCAGGCATGGGCTTTTTATCAAACCATGTCTATACTAGGAACCATGAACACGATATACTTTATCCAGGTTGCAACAGGCTCTGTAGAAATGAGGTGTTCTATAAAACCAGTTAGAGGCAGACCAGGTGGTATTACTGTACTATGCTGGACTGTCACTCATGGACTATCATGTGTAAAGCATAAGAGAATCCTGTCCATCCCTGTCGATTATTGGATCGAATAAATCAGGGTTGGTTTGCTTTTTAAAACTTAGGGAACTTTGTTCACCTATTGCACTGTTTCCAGAGCATTGTTCCTCAGGATTTCCCAATGCACATTACCCTCTCCCATATTCTACTAGTGGAGCTAGGGAGTCCTTACCACACTTGGTTTCCAGTCACTGGGGTGGTGGACAGAGGTTATTCCTCCAGAGTGTTTGAGGGAATTTCCTCCACTCTTGGAGAAGAGGCAAAATTAGTGGTCATCCTACCTGGGACCATGGGTGTTTTTTCCCCCAGAGTTTGGTAGGAGAGGCATCAGCCTATGTGAGAGCCTACTTGTAATACTGATTCAGATTTGATACTCAGCTATCTGGTAGGATTGAGTGTGGCCCTTTGTTCTGATCAATAATGCATCAGTACATTGTTCATGGAAGGGGGCCCACTGTCTCCTTATAATTCTGAATGCAGAATGGTTCCATCCTGGATCCTTGGCTGAGCACAGTTTATCCTTGTCCTCCCCATAATTTCAGGGACAAATGAAATTTACCTTGCCCACACGATGAGGGAGTGTAAATGAGTGTTCATAATTCCGAGTTTGGGAGTGTTGCCTTTTGGATTTATAAAGGTTGAGGAGAGGGTTTGTCCAATTCAGTGTTGCTTACCTTCTCATCGTGATTTTGGTGGCTTGGAACACATCACTTTTCGCTACAGGTTAGGGTCCACTCACAAGTATATAGATTGCAATCCAAATGCCTTAGCCACCAATGTGGGATTTAGGGACCATAGCCCTATAATTCCAACCCCGATAGTGATAATATTAGCTGGATGAGGTGCTTATATACACTACCCTGATAGAGGGCTCATTGACGTAGGTGGAGAGTGTCAAGGGCAATTAAGTGGGGAATAAAAGACAGGAGCAAGCTAGAAAAAATCAGACTAATGCTTAGGTGGGCAAAGGAAGGAAGCGCTAGCAGTAGAGTAATAGCTGTAGTGTGAGTTGAGGTAAGTATTATTGGAAATACATTTTCGATTTTAAAAAAATGCTACCTTTTTGCTATGTTAAACAGACATTTTCCTTACAAAGTTAACACTCTTTAGTACAGATTTCACGTTTAACATTCCTATAATGTATTTATTTTTCCCTTTCTTTTATAGAATGGTACAGATGTTACCAAAGGAAAGGTAAGCATTTGAAAAGTTTTGTTCTATTATGTTTGGACTACAGGGTTTAGTTGTAACTCGACTTATTATTACTTTAGTGAGCTCTGATTTTTTTTTTTTTTGTAGTTTCTTAAAGTTCTGTTGTACTTTCCATTTCATATTGTTATAGCATAGCCTTTTCTTGTACACACAAAAAAATAAAAAATAAAATAATTGTATTTCACTTTCAGGTTCTTTACTGTTTTATGGGGTGTAATCTTGCAGTCACTGCATATATAGAAAGTATTAAAGGTAAGTTTTATTTTTCTATTAATGTTAGGTATATACGTTATCTAACTTAAGTTTTTTTCTCTTTTGTATAAAAACCAATTTGGTCTTTTACTTTTAGTAAGTTCATTTTAGTTAGTACACTAGCTTAAGTTACTATCATCTGTAACTGGTTGTAAAAGTGGAATTTAGTTTTTAATTTTTTTTACTTGTTTATTCATAAATAGTTTTATTCTTTTAGTTATTTGTAGATTGGAAGCTTAGTTAAAGTTTGGAGTGATTATAGTTATTTCATAGATTAAAAGTGTAAGTTATTAATTAATGATTCAATAGTGTTGTTGAATGAATATTTTGTCAAATAAACTAGATTTACAATTTATAAACTATCACTTCATAATAAGTAAAAAATATTTATGGGCTATAGAACCATCCTATTTAACATTTTTATCCTACATCAACTACTCAATATGAAAACCTCTACCATTAAATTACTTACATATTTTATGTATATATTTATTTTTAAAGTGAAATTTGGAATACCACCTGCACCATACCTTGTGGCATTTTCAAAAACGAATGAATCAGTGGTTATCGAATGGAAGCCAGCACCACTGGACAATGTTTCCTACTTAGTCCAGTGGAAATATGAGTCTTTGCCAGGAGACTGGGAATACTATAATCCAGATAACATATTAAAAACTAACCAAGTTATAATTGAAGGCTTGCATCCTTACACAAAGTATAAGGTAAGAGAAGGTTTATAATGTGTATGAGTGATTGGGGTCTTAATAGGTTTTTAAGGTTAGAAGAAAGTTCCCTAAGATAGGCAAAGTGATCTTTGCAAAAAAAAAAGTGTATAAAAGATGAACCACGATACATTTCTATAAATATTTTGTAATGTAAGTACTGTGTATGTTTTTAAAGTTCATTTATTATTCTAAGTATTAAAGAAAATTGCATGTGACATTAAAGCTCATTTACTGCCATAAACAAACCATTTATGTACTTATTGGTTGTATTGTATGAATGGTGAAAAAATAGGTAAAATATTAGTCAAGTAAATATTTGATAGATGTTTAACAACCATGGCATAACATTAAAAAAATAGCCAAGTAATAACAGAAGAAAAATCTGTGTAATTACTTTGTTAATCGATCCACCTTGAATTAATTTTATCATTGTTTCTATCTTTTCACAATGTATGTATAAATGTAAAGTATCCTAATTTGTATATCTAGCTAAATCAGCTTAATATCATTCATTATTTCTCAAAAGCGTATGAATATTGATCATTTTAATGTTGAAAAGCTATGTGAATGAAATATATCAATTAACTAGAGTTAATAAAATCTAAGTACAAGTAAAATAATTAATATCCCATTTACTGATTATGTGCAAGAGAAATTATGTATAATTTAGGAAATAAAACACTGAAATTAAAAAAGTTTGTGCTTAAAAAAAAAAATAAAAAAAAATAATATATATATATATATATATATATACAAACACACACATTTTAAGTTTCTAAATTAAATGTCGGAATGAAACTGAGATATTTAGGTACATTTTCTCTGTAGTTTCGAGTTGCATGGATTATTCTTCCTCAGTATGCTCCAATTGTATCACATGAAAGTGTAGAGATATCAACACTACCTTATGGTGGTAAGTTTTTACTTACAACATGAGAATTTGATTGATCTTATAAAAAATGTATTCAAAGTATGATTCAGTGGTTTAATTGTAAATATATTTTTGTTCCAAAATTATTTACTATGCTGAGGCAAAGGAATGTTGATCACCAACTACTGCCAGAATGTGTGAATAATAAACTTAAAAACCAACACTGGGTTCAAAATGAATAAATATAAATTCTTATATTTTATATATGACAGAAAAATCCCATCTTATTCATTTTAAATTCTTCAAACTTAGATTTTATTTTGCAACCCTTTCACTGATTTGCAAAAATGGAAAGTCCAGGACTTTCAGTACATCAATTTTGGAAGAACCATTCAAAACCTTGAAGGTCTCAGAGCACTGTATTATATGCTCAAATGTAAATGTTGTAGAGCTTCCACAGAAATTTCTCCACTCAATGAATAAAGAAATATGTCTCTCATTTTACAGGGTGGTAAGTGCCCCCCCACCCCTGCAGCCATGATTGTAGCCATGCAACTTTGTCACATTGCATTTTTAACACTAGGTCATTTGGACTGGATATTTATTTACTGTTTATTTGTGGGAGTGTGTGTAATGTTGTTTGGGATATGTGTTAAGAAGTGTTATGAATAGAATTTATTAATTCTGAATATTTTGAGGAGTTATGACAATAGTGAAACAAGCATAGATGTCTTGCTGTGCCAATGGTACACCTGAATAACAAAAATCGCCATTTACTTTTGTGATCATTTCAAGTGAACTACAACGATTTAAAAGCTAATTTATATTTTTAAGTCCATGTCAACATTCTATTTAAAAAATGCTGAAAAAATTTAGTATCACAGCAATAATATAGGGTCAGTCAAAAATGAGAAACGAAGAAATTTTTTAAGGCCTTAGAAAAAGGTGACTGTTTGCAAAGCTGCTAAATTTATACAGTTATATGAATAATTTGAAGCAGATTTTCGTAGGCTACAAGGTAAATTCTTGCAAGTTTCTTCTGACATGCATATGGATGATACAGAGCTTCCTAAAACTAAAAGTACATGAGACATTTCATGCATATTAATAATTTCACATTCCAGAGTTTGATTGGTCTAATAGTGAACTAGAAATACAGCATCCCTCAAATTTCACACCTTTTGTTAAGTTATCCTTACTTATTCCTTCATATTTATTTCATTGAATTTTACAAAGTATTTATTTTTTGTTACTGTTCCAGAATGTAATAAAAACTGCGGAAATATATAATTTGTCCTTGGAAATCTATTGAAGATATGTATATGAAACCAACATGACATTGATTAATAAACAAAGCATAATAGACTTATCAAGTAATTAGCACTTTAACACTTTGTTAATTGCAAATTTACATCCTTTAAATATGACATTTAAGTATGTTGATGTATAAGTACTTGGATGTGGATGTCCAAGGTACACTTTTTTTTTGGGGGGGGGGCATAAGAAATCAAGGGATTGGTTGTCCTGGGGTCTTCCACACATTTAATTTTTGTTGTCTAAAGGGAAATTCTGGCTGTATAATAACAGAAGTACTGATTCTATATATTTTATTGATTACTAAAATGTGTTTGAAGTTTTGCTACTCGTCTATGACAGCTAGGATGTCTTGAGTGTTAAAAATGCATTAAGAATGTAGGCTTTCATCTAGGGAAAACATCGGAAGATTTTTTATGGAAAGTGACAAAGTTTAACCAAGCATACATGTGATATTAATAGAATTCTTGGAACCAATCCAAAATATAATGATTTTTAAAGAATGGAAGCTACAAACATTACAAATTTGTTTTAACAAAATTCCCAAAAATACAAACAAGTTTGTAAGATTCTGAGGTTGTTTCTTTGTTACAAAGCAACCTATTTTTAATTTGGCTACTGTGTTGTTCAACTAAAGCCTTACAGTGTCACATTATTTTGGCTTGAACTAAATATATTTAATATATATATTATGTTAATTAGAAAACTGGATTTTATTTCCAAATTCAGTTAATGGTGTTTATCCTATAGTCTACTAAAGCATATAAATAATGTTACCAAAGCTGTAGAGGAAGTGTGACACAGGATGTTGCAAAACATACCTGTAGTTTAGCAGATAAAGCAAAGGATGGGAACTTCCTGAAGCCTCTAAAGTCACTCTACTAAATTTGATATTGGTGAGAATTTAATCTGATACATACAGTGGTTGACCTGAAATCTTTAAACTGAAATTAATACAAAAGAAGTGCTGTAGGGATCATTAGCTGTGTTGCTTAAAAAATAAACCTGTCATATATATTTAAGCAACTTATAATTGAATTCTGTTCACATAAAGTAACTTATGGATTATTCTAATAATACTGATGATAACTTGCTACAATATTTAAAATTAAAACTTTTCAAATAAAAATGTTTATAGTGAGCAAAATTATTAATGTGTTTTTGTCTCTCCTTTTTTATTAATTATCTGTTTCTCCATTCCTGCTGTGAGTTTTATAAAACAAAGAAAAGTAAAATTGTATTTCTAAGTATTCTAATCTTGATCTGAGTGGTTTGAGGTGAGTAATATCAACCATATAACTTTTTGTGTGTGTGTGCAGTTCCAACAACAGCTCCTACCATTACAAGTCTTGCAGCTCTTGGGCCAAGAAGAATCTCTGTCAGCTGGGAACCTCCTCCTTTCTCTAATGGGCCAATATTATCTTATGTTTTATACCTTCAGGAAATGCCAGATGGATACGATCCAATTAAGGTAAACTTTAGTAAATAACATTATTTCAATTAATTTTATTTCAACATGACTATTTTAAATATTAAATCATGTATGTGCTCATGAGTTTTTGGATCCTTTAATGCCTAATGTTTTCACAGTTAATGTAGATTTTATGATGATTTTTCTTGAAATCAGTTCATTGGTTTTGCTTTCTCACAATCTTCTCATACAGAAATTATTTATCAGTATAATTAAAACAAGTTTTATTTTTGATGAACTTCAATACATTTTTAAAATATTTATTAACCTTATTAGCTCTTTTTTAATGCATTTTTTTAATTTTCTTCTGTTAAAGCTGTGTAAGTTATGTTTGCATTTTTTTACACTTTTTACTAAATTTACCATATAAGTTATAAGTAATTTATCTATTGCATTCAGTAAGAGTGTTTTCTCCCCACAGGATGTATCTGAATCTGTTGGTGATTTATATTACATGTTCAACAATCTTGTTCCTGATAAAACCTACCAGGTTTCTATTACAACCAGAAACAGCATGGGAGAAGGACCCCCAGATGTTAAGAATGTTACAACTCCATCAATTCCTAGTCCAATTGGTACATACCTTATAACTAAACATTTATAATTCCAAAATGATAAAAGATGTGACACTTAGGTTGGTTATTCACTTCTTTGAAAAGAATATTTTGCATTTACAAGCAAAAAGAACAAGTTGTTTTGAAAGGTTGTTAACAGATTTGTCTTTTACTGGGAAAGGTTTTTAGTACTGAAAATTTTTTGAAATATTACAGTGAACAACTATCGTTACCTAATGCATTACATTAAAACTACAGGTGCAAGTCTACTAAGTAATTGAACAAAAAGAACTTTTTCAATGCCCCACCAACTTTTTTTCAGCATTTAACAATTGATGATTATGTATGTAACAATTACTGACTGCAAAGGAATCCATTAAACTGCAAGGATGGATCTTGGAACACCTTCCATGATTACTCAAGTGAATAATCCTTTTCTTAACCCTGCATTTGTCTCTTTAATAATCAATGAAAAGTTAGGAAGATAATGATATTTGACACATTCCTTTGTAATGTGATTATATAAGATTAACATGTTTTTTTATTTGTTTATTATTTTATTTATAGTGTTAAGTGCTACTCCATACTTAGTGCTTTGGTCTCAACAGAAAGTTCTTCTACAAGGACTTGACTTCATAGAATCGTCAGAACTGTTGTATCAGTCTAAGGACAAATTCAACAATATTGTTGGTATGTGTTGTACTGATAACAACAACAACACCTTTAAGATTAAACCAATGTTTTTTAATTCGACTGATTTCAATTGAAAATTTACAAAAAATGTTGAAAAGACTGCCATTTACATATTAAATATTTTTTACAGTTAAATATTTTTACATTAATTATGGATTTTCTTAAAAGCTACATTGAAAGGTACATGACGCATGAAATTTTATTAAAAATATTAGTGTTTGGATTGTAGTTCTTGATACCTTTCTAAGTTAGTGACTCCCACATTTCAGTTTGATTAGTTGTCCTTTTTATTTTTCAATAACATTATTAAATTAAAATTGTGAGTTGAGATACCATAAATTAACTTATCCTGATTTCTCTTCTTATTTTTTAACTTATTTATAATTGTATTAAGCATTTTGTAATTGTACAAAATAAAATTTGAATTATAACCCAAAATGCTATAATATGATAGTTTTATTTCAAACGAAAACAATAAAAGTTAAAAGAATTTCCCTGGAAATCAATTATACTTCAAATATTAGGCCAAAACTTAAAACTGGCTTGTATATTACTTTCTTTTATCCAGAGTTTCACTGTCCAGTTACATGTGATTCTGCTCCATTCCTAAAATATATGATTTTGCATATTTCTCATTATATTATGTATATTATGTACAATATCAGGATCTCTGTTCAAATCTGAATTGGAATATGAAAGTAATATTTAAGCTGTTATACTTTTAATTAAGGGACCTTTCACAGAAATCTTTGACCATAAAGTGTTTTAGTATACAGTTACAGACAAAGGTATTTAGGCAGTTAAAAAAAAGAGAGAGAGAGAGAACTCAACAAAAAAAAGTGATTTTTTTAATTTCAAATTACTCTATTGAAAATATAAATCAGATTCAGCTTTATAATTAAATATTAATTAATTTGTTTTTCACATGATCGTTTATTTTGTTGCATGTTATATAAGAATTCATTCATTTATCTTAAAGCTGAATCTATATTTTAATATATATTTTTCAATAAAAATAATGAAAAGTGACAGTGATTTTCCTTTTCTGTTTTTTTAAATGCCCAAATACTTTTGACGGCAGATAAAACTAATAATCTATGTGTGGTCCTTTCATAGCATTGTTTAATGAAAAGGTAATTACATGTTTCAGGAGTGGGGCTTCACGTAAAGAAAAAAATTATCTTTGTGTCGGACACATCAGGATCAGTTCACTCCTTTCTTCTAGATCAGAAAGATAAAGTTAATACAGTAATTCATAACAGCACTTTCTATCCTGGATTATTATCAGTGGATTGGCTAAATGACTACCTATACATGGAGGAAAAAAGCCAGGTTAGTAAAATTGAACATTATCTTTATGTAAAAAAATAGCATCATTAGTTCACATGAAAGTAAAAACTTGTTAATTCCCAGAATTTAAATTTTTTACTTCTTAAGCATGTGAAACCACAAAAACTTTGAAAGTACTAATATTTTTAACCTTTATGGTTGCAGATCAGTAGATGTAATTTGAAAGGAACAATGTGCCAAGTAGTTGTGTCTGGATTTAAAAACAAACCATCAACTTTTCATGTGGATCCTTATAATGGGTGAGTATGATTGTGCTTGTGGATCTCAGATCAGGTAAATTCTTGTTAATATAAACAAAAAAGGGTGATTGTAGCCAGTGCTCAACTTTGAGGGGGGAATGGAGGGGGAATACTATCCCTCATTGTTAAAATAAATATTAATTTAATTCGCTTAATAACAAAATCGCGTCTCAATGGAAGTACGTGTGTACAATTACAGTTGTACTGATTCACCGTGTGTCGGATATTGTTTCCATGAGCAATTTGTAAATCTGGCTTTTGATTTTCTCTTAATACTTGTTTTTATGTAAAGTTATTATTAAATTGCATTTTGATCTAAGTAGTGACTGATTTATGAGGTAGTTAAATTCAATATATTATTATATATATCTGTATATGCCTCCCAGTGACATAATTGTATGTCTGTAGACTTGCAATGCTAGAAACTGGGTTTCAGTATCCATGGTGGGTATAGCACAGATAGCCCATTGTGTAGCTTTGAGCTTAATTACAAACAAGCAATATATACACGTACAGGGTGTGGTAAAAGTGACTGTACTGTTGTTTTATATAGAATATAATTTCTAACATCTTACCTCTGAAACAAACAAGAATTAAATTAATTTCAAATGTCTTTATAATACAAACAGTACAATGCTTAATTTTTGAAAAAGTTATCAATGACGTTGTCATGAAATAAGGCTAGTACTTCAATAATTTAAGCACTTATTTCTTGAAAGTTTTGTTTTATGTAAATTTAAAATGTTATGATCAAGTTGTTTAACAATTACAAAATTAACTTGAAAGAAGACAACCATAGATTACTCATGTGATTATCTTACTTTCTCCTCAGCTTTCTTTATTGGGCCTGGGATGAAGATTCAGAAACAAGGCTTTATAGTCTTGACCTTGGAAGAATTTCTAGTGATGATGTTCCTGCTGATAGTGGACATGTAATCATGAAGGGGACATCTCTCACAGCCTTTGCTGTTGATCACAAAAACTTTCAATTGCTGGTCCCTGTGCCAGAAAAAAACACTGTTTTTACTGTAACTCTGGATGGTGTAGACCAACATGATGTCAGATTTAACTCCCAACAACCTGACTTCACACAAGTGAAAAGTTTAGTGACTTACAACAGATTATTTTATTGGATTAAGCAAGACAAAGTGTTCAAAGAAGAGTATCATTCCAGTGAGGATAAATATTTCCACATCACTTTTAAGCTGGACAAAACAGTGAAAGAATTTTTAGGTGTTAAAATCCTTCATTCAGATTACCAGCCTTTACCTGGTAAGTGTAAAAATGCTCTATCTGTGAACTTTTTGTGCACATTTAGTTTTTGCTTATTTGTGAAATTAAACCTCATTTTGAGTATGTGTGGAACATTTCATTGGGAGATCATAAGTACTTTGATCTTTTGTATGAAAGGAATAATAAGTTGGAAGACTATCTACGTGGGCTTGTTCTGTTAAGCATAACATATGTTTTTGTGTTATGATTACAATATAGAAAACAATGTAGTATTTTTATTCTAGCATATATAATTTCAAGTTATTAACAACTAATATTTAGATTAATATATTTAACATGTTGAAAGTATGTACTTCAAATTATTAATGTACTTCAGTTGAGAGTAGTGTTTTTTTAAATGTAACACTTATGAAATATAAATAGGATGCTGTTATTAAAACAGATGAAAATGGTTCACTGTTAAATTTCATAGCATTAAATAATTTTATATATTTGTTTTTGTAAAGATGCTTTATTGGCTTTTAACTTACCACTAGAAGGAAAATAATCATTTAATATTAAAGTGTATTTTTTAGATCAGTTTGAAAGTTCTTATTTTAATATTCTTCACATTCAAGAAAAACAGCTGATTAGTGCAATGTTTAAGATGAAAAAAATGTTGCTAATGAGTAAAACATGTCTTCTAGTTCCTGTAAATCCTGTTGAGGAGGTTCAGGTTGTCTTCCATACCAAAATGGCTAAAATTGCCTGGTCTAAACCACGAAGACCTGGTGGTTTTGGTAAGAATATATGTAGTTGATATTTACCTACTTCTTTAATTGTAAAAACTATCATTAATTTTACTGGTAACATAGGATAAAGTATTCTTAGGAGAATCATTAAAATTTTCCTTTTAGTTGGAACACACACGCACACACACAAGATAGTTACTTAAGAGGTTCTTATAATTGTAACATTACCTGAAATCTGTCTTAATAATTATTGTTTAGATTTTGAAGGCTAAATTTCTTCTTATGATTAAACTGACTTAATGGCTTTTATACATATATTTTAGTTACAGATTAACTTCACTTGGCCAAAAGGTAAGAAACAAAACTAAGTTTTAACTTAAAACTGGGTCTCTCACAATTGGCTTACTCCTAGTTGCATTTAAATATTAAAGTATGTAAGTTGTACTTTATGTTTATGTAATCAAGTTAAAACACGGAAGTCTATTAAATGGAGTGGGGGCCTAATAGAAGTGGTTTTATGTAAGTGTGATACTTTTAAAACACTTGTTTTTTTTTTTAAAGGGTGGGATTTTACAGGAATTTTGGTATGAAGTCACTTTTTTATATTCATATATATGATAGAACTAAAACACTTTATTAAAGGAAGTGGAGCCTGGCAGGAATGGTGTTATGAGGTTCATTTGGAGGATCAGAAGGCAGGGTTGACCATTTACAGGAAGGAAATAAATGAAACATCATGTACTATTGAGAATTTACTGCCAAACACCTACTACTCTGTGAAAGTCAGGGCTTATAATAGGGGTGGTAAAGGACCTTGGTCAGATCTGTTTGATGGGAAGACACTAAGAGAAGGTAAAGCTGGATCATCCTTGTATATTAAAATATAATAGTAGGCTTATAGTTTGTGAATTATGAAATATAAAAAAATTAACACTTGTATTTGAAATTGATAGCATTGTTAGAGTAGAGATGCACAAAAAATATTGTTCTCTAAGTATTGTATAACACACACTGAAAAAATTTTAGGGTACATACTTAAATACTATATATGATGCTAATTATAAATTTCGAGTTCAATTGATCATGTTTTTCTCTCAGGAAATGATCAAGATGATATATTTATTCTTTGGAGTGGTAGAGAAGGCCTTGTGAAAACTAATATTATTGGAGATAACATGAAACCACTGATTAACAAGACAAGTTTGGGTGACAACTTTATAACAGGTAGAATTGCTATTATTTCCAGTGATTCTTATGGAAAAGTTACATTAGTAAATAATATACAACTGTGATAAAGATGAATTTAAATATTTTGCTTTAAGTTATCTTGTTATATTTCTTTTGGTTTTTATATATGAAAAGTTAAAGCTAAAATTGAAATTTGCATCTAAATTTTATTCAGTCTGATAATTTCTGTACTAAAAGTTCTGTATACTTTTTATCCTTTATAGAGATACTAAAAACATTTTTAAAAAGTTTCAAAAACAAAAAAGTATTTTGTATGAAAAAGTTGGAAAAACTTTGTCATTTAGTTATTTTTTGGAAGTGTTACTTTCTGTTTAATTCAAGCAGTGATTGTATAACAGTTATGAACTACTCGTTCAATACAAAACTTTGGTTGTATATAAAATTTCATGCAGAGCAAATGTAATTTTAAATGATAGGTCTACAGGGTACTAATTTCTATTTTACTTTCATTCTAAGTTATGGATAAGCATTTCACCAAATAACTAAAAAAAAACAGGTTTGATTAGTTTAGAAGCTGAAATAAATAACGTTACTTCAGGCTAATGCTGTCACTGTTACTATATGCCAAAAAATTCTTACTGTTCTTGCCTTCATTCTCAACCAGTCTAAAACTTCAGTGTTCCTTGATTTTTGTTTTTAAACCAATGATTAATAATATGTTCTTGTTAATATTTGCTAATAGTTGATTAGTTGTCTTGTCCAAATCCACTTGTACTGTTTATTATGTCCTCTCTTTTTCATTGGGCCATAATCTTGCAATATAGATGTGGTGTAAGTTTAGGTTTGATCTCAAAGCTTAGAGTACATCGCTGAGAAAGGTGTTACTTATTTGAGGCATTATGGAATATGTGTTGAAATGCAGTTTTAAGCATTTTTGGGAGTTAGTGTCAGTTACATAGGTAAACATCAAGTATTGGAGAATGTGGGTCATTAAATGTTTTCTTCATTGTTTAATCACTTCAGTAGACATGCAGTTGTTGCTTTAATTGATAAAGATAAGAAGCTAGAGCTATAAATAGTTTGCTTTGGTTTCAGTTTTCCTTTATCAACTGCTTCGATGTTAATGTAACCAATCCAAGGTATTACACTTTATGATATTTATTCTGAGAATAAATACCAGTCCAAGGTTATAAGCCTAAAATTGTAATAAAGCTATTGCTAAAATGTAAAAAAAACATTATTAACAATATTAAATATTGGATGGTTCCAGTCATGAAGTGGCTTGCATCTATCTTCCATTTGCCAAATTTCTTTTTTTTATATTTTGTAGTAAGAGAATTACTTATTGTTTTATTCAGACATCAGCTGGTATAATGGATTGGTCTTCCTGAACACTAACAACAGCTGGGTGTTTATGTATAATGTCTCTGAGACTGAGTCACTTACTCATCTGCAGAATGTTACTAATGCTGCAAGCATTACAATTGATTGGCTTGCTCCAAAGCTATATTGGTCTAGTCCTCATCAGCAAATGGTATGTGAAAATGGTTTTATTGGCTCAGAATAAAACAGTTTAATTTATGTTTTTATTAGAATAAGATCATTTATGTTCAGTATTTGTCTATTCAATTATAAAGTCTTCTTTATTTCAACAAGGAAATAATTTTTTCATACCAAATCAATTTAAAAAAAAAAGTATAATTTTATTAAAAACAATAACTTAATGTTTATGGATATTCTATGACAAGTAATTTCAAATCTTGGAACTAAAAACGGGCTTACTAGTCTGAAATATTTAAAAATCCAAACCACTTTCATTATATAAATAACATTGTCACAGTTTTTGATTCTAAATGTGCTTCAAGATTTTTCTTGGTAATATAATTATAAACACAGTCCTTTCACTGTTAATAAAACAATAAATCAAGTAATAGATACTATTATATGTTGGCTAAGGTACTGCAAGCATTTTGAAAGGTTATTTATACTAGTTTAGTTTTTAGCTCTGAATATTTAGAGAGTTAATCTTGTATTCTTTTCACATTCATTGAGATCATGTACATTGTTTAATGATCTTTAAGGACTTAATGAAATTTGTGGTGTATATCATGTTTAGATCTCCCGATCCAACATTGATGGCTCCTATCCTGAACACCTACATTTGTATACACTTGCTCAAGAGTTAGCTATTGATTCTGTTCGAGGGCAGTTGTATTGGACTACAACACACACTATAGAATACTCAAGACTTAATGGATTTGAACATCATGTGTATTTTGAAACAGAACCTTTTTCTGGGAAAGGTTAGTTAAATCATTTTTGTTTTGTTTTTTATCAATAAAAGTGTTTTCTTAATTTTGTTAGTAAATCAAAAGATAGTAAAAAAAGTATGAACCTTGTTTTTTTACAGCTTGCACACTAATCATAGTGTTACATACAAGCATAAATGTTACATAAATTAAATAATAACATCAGTTATATTGATATCCATAAATAAAATAAAATGCTAGTTACATTCATGTGTGTATACACACACACACACACACACACACACACACACACACAACCTATCCAATAAATAGACTTGCACTCCAAAAAGAATGCCACTTTGGTAAATAGACGTAAGTGAAACATAGGGTAGAAAAACCTGTTTGTTTCGAATGCTTTAACAGGGAATGATCAAGGATGGACCACACATTCTTTATAGGCTTCATATCTGGCGATTGGTCTGGCCATCAGAAAATAGTATTGTCCTAATCTTCAAGCCTTCATTTTGTAACTTGAGTTGAATGAGCAAGAGTTATATATTGGGTGAAAACATTGTCTTGTCTGGTAAGGTCATTGGCATAAAGAGGCAGAAAGCCTTGCTTGATAATTATGATGTATCAAAGAGCAGTGACCATACCACCTGTTGTGGTCATCCAAATGTCACCCTTACTATAACTGTTGTGGCTTACAGGAAGTTCACCAAAAATTTCTGGGAAGATAGTTACTGAACCCAGTTGTGTCCACTGTCTGAAAGTTGTGGAAATTAAGTGTAAAAGATAGGAAGTTGTGATTGGACTACTGTTGATGTATAATATTCCAGGAATGAGGAGTGGCTTCCAACTAGCTGCTATTCCACTGTAAAACATGTTATGAAGATAACTTCTGATGGTATTTGGGCCCATTTGTACCTGTCTTGCAACAGTGGTGGTTTTTGATACAGGTATTTCTCCATATTTTTCATAGGATGGAGTCTGTTCTGTTGGTTTTGGGACATGCAGAAAGTGTTATTTTTTCTGTCAAGACTGGAATCACTTTGTTCTCTGTAGTCAGTAATATTGCAATTGATCTGGTGATTTCTTGTTGACTTTAAACACCATTCCATCGTTTAATATGTGACTTTTTATTCATGGTATAGATGTTTTGTATTCTATGATCTTTACTGAGCTGTACTTATATTTATACTTCAGGGTTACTTGCATATTAGTTTACAGAGATGTTCATGCTGTATAATTGAGGTTGTCTACATTCTTATTGTTAGGCTGTGTATTGGCACGTTATTTAAAGGATTATGCTCTGTTCATCTATAGATGCAAATGTGTAGTTCTTGCAGTGTTAACTATTTTGTATAATGATGCTTTAGTTTATTTTCTATGATATTTTGAAATTGACTTACACCTTCTACAACAGATAAAAAAGCTGTGTCATGGGTTTAAGATGGCATAAGATATGAACTCATTTCTTGTTTTTTTCTACATTAATTCAACAAGTAGACTAACTTCATGTATAATTGTAATTTAAAGTAATGGAAGATGTTCAGTTAGCTAATGGTTTTAAAAGTCCATGAAATTTTATTTCCTTTATAGTAATAGGCCTCAGCATGGATTTTGATCGAGATAAAGTGTATTGGGTAATTCGCAGCTTTGAAGGATCAATTCTCTATGAAGCACCACTAGTGTCTGAGAAAATGATGGAACACAACATAGTAAAGAAAGTAGGAGTGATTCCTGATTTAAACATGTAAGTTTTGATATAGTGTGAAATGAATAATAAAAGGTAAGGAATTCCTTCATTCTGGAAGGTGCAGTAACTTCATCATGCATTTTCTCTAAATAACTGTAACAAACATTTTTTATTAAGCTTCTACCATGAATCTCCTCTTAAAGTTTATCTTAAATGCAAGGACATTCTGTTGTGAAACTTTTCATAGCAAACTTCTGTTGGCCAAGCATGACCCAGTAGTTAGCATGCCAGACTGTGGATTTGAGGGTCTACCACCACAAAACAAGATCACACTTCACACTTTGGGACTGTGGTGCATTGTAAAAGTGATGGTCAAATCCAACTATTCAGTAAGACAAGGGTTAGCAGTAGGTTCTGTTGATTAGCTTCCATCCCTTTAATGTATCAGTTCAAAATGAGGAATAGCTATTACAGATAGCCCATGAGTAGCTTTGCAAAAATATCCAAAAGCAAACTTCTGTTTGGATATTTCTACATTGTAGATTTTGAGCACCATGAAAGTCGATAACCCTCTTTTGATTAGTGAAAGTATTGTTTTGAATAATTAAAATATAACAAAATTAGAAACCTTAAGCATGACTTATATATAAGATACTTGGTCTTTATCCTCCTGTGGCAATTTGGAAACAACACTTCATGCTGCTTGTGTGATCTTCATTGTCAATAATAACTTTTCTCTCCTCATTAAACTTCTTTTAAAGACGTTGTATATTGCTTTTCGATAGCATTACAAGTTATCTACCTGAGTAAATCTGACAATAACATTTCAACCTTCTAGTGTGTATATATATATATATATATATATATATATATATATATATATTATTTAGTTTATTATATATAAGTTAAGTTAGTTTAGTTCGTTACGTTAGTAGGTAGGTAGTCGTACGACGTACTCTTACTACGTTACGT